AACGCGAAATAATCCCCGAAATGGATCCCCAGTTGATGTTTCTTTACGCGAATGCCATTGGAAATTACACCCTAAGCTTTGAGATTTTATTGCTGAGATAAAAGTAACGAAATGCAAGGAAATAAGAATGTAATAAAAGATAAAACACGTTATGTCAAAGGGATTTTAGAATGTATGCGACTTTAGGATTGCGTAATTTGACGGATACGATTATTAAAAACAGGAATGCAAGAATCGAAATACATAAGAAAATATTAGAATATAAAAACTCTGAAGGAGACTTTAAGGAAAATTTAATAGTGCAAAATTTAAAGATTCTAGAATTTAAGAGTTAACTTTGCCTTTAGTTAGAAAGGAAAGACTTAAGATTGCGGAAAGATTCTATTAATGTCGGAAGAATCTAGGATCTAAAAAGTCAAATTACGTTGAACCTCGAAGGGATTTCAAGTCCAACATCTAAAAATGTGTAAAGGGAAATTGGAAGAAAGCACGTGGAGCTTTAAAAGTATAATTTGTTTCTCTAAAAAATCTTCCAAACGCTTAAGATTCATACATTATTACCCGAAAACGGAAATTAAAAGACCTGACGTGTCGGCAAAATTCGCGCTTAAAATTTACGAGCAATTTTCAAGTACAATGCGAATATCGAATAATTTTACATTTCGAGGTACACACTTTTTATCCCGGGGAATCTAAATTACAACGATTCTTTTTCGAAGTCCTTTATCGAATCGTCGCAAACTTGCGCGAACTCAAGTGCTCTCCCGATCCTTACATTCCCAACAAAAAGCCCTTATATTTCAATTTTAGGATCTCGAACCTTTGATTTTTGAACCGGCAGGATTCTATTCACGCCGGAAAGAAACTTCAGTTCTCGAAAGTGAGGGAGAGAAAGAGTAATACGTCTAGTTGGACCGCGGCAGAAGCGAAGAAAGAGCAAAGTTGGCTGAACTCTGATTATGGCGCGAAACGGGGACAACTCTCGAGATGAAGTCGAAGTAAAGAGAGAGAGAAAGAGGAAGGGAGAGGGTGGAGAGGAAGAAGAATTCGAAGGGAGAGATGAATTCTCTGCCTCTCTCTCTCTCTCTCTCTCTCTCTCTCTCTCTCATTCCGATCCCCCTCGCTTCTTCGTATCTTCGTGCACGCCTAACCAGCACACGTTACCCACTTACTTACGCACGCTAGCCTTCTTACATAGTCACTGCAGCGAACAGAATGCGTTTCATCAAAACTTGCGGCTTTCATCTCGTCACCGAGCGAACGCGCTATTCACTAAACGCGGCGTGAATCAGCCTCTCAATTTCGAATATCACATACCCGAAGACTTATTACGCGACTGGCGCACGACTTATTACCCCCGAGGCTATTTGCAGCACGAAATAAGTTTCTAACCATTTGAATTAATCTTAAGACGCGTGGAAATAAGTCTGAGCATGGGAGTTGGAAAATTAAAGTAGTAAGATTCTATTTCGCATACGTAATATTTCCAATTTATCGAAAATCAGCTTAAGTAATTTATAGGGTGTTTCTTAATAAGTGCAAAAAGTTTTAGAACATGATCACATCCTTCTCTGTGAAGTTACACTCCTCCAAAAATAGGGGTAGAAATTAGGTTCTTATTTCTTTCTCAAATTTGTAACGAGTTAAAGTAATGAAATTAGATGGATATTTTTTACCAAAAAGGTTATTTATTAATATTGTTTTCAATCTCCCGTATTGTTATAAGGGAATGAAACTAGCAATCCCCATTCAATTTTTTATTAGAACTTTTTAAAGTGCTGGAATATGATCATCTAAAAATATGCATTAAAAAGATTTGATTTATTTAGAAACTTTTTTATTTCTTTTATTTTTTTCGTAAAATTAATAATTTTCAAAAAAAAATATAAAATACGTTATCGTGCACAGCAAGATCCTAAACAGCATGGTTTTCGAATTACGAGAAGTTAAATTTTAAAATAAAAATAAAATTAGATTAAATGTTGCAAAAATTGGAACAAAAACAAAATTATAACCAAAATCTAAAAACCTAATTTTTACCCCCATTTTTGGAGGAGTAATTCTACAGGGAAGAATGTACGAGTATAGGTTTATATGAAAAATCCCCTTAATTTTTGACACAGAATCTTCTAAAATTTTTCGTATTCTTATTAAGAAATACCCTGTATAATAATAAATATTTTTTCGATCTAAGCTTCATTCGTTTAATGATTATAATTCGTATCTAGTTTAAGAGTATAGCATAAATATAGATTTATAAATTTATTATAATTCATATCTAGTCTACGAGTATAGTATAAATATAAATTTATAAGTTTATTTATATAAATACAGCGAAACTATAAAAATTTAAACATAGAAAAATTGATAGCAATATGATGCTTTAGCGAGTGTGCAATTTAAACATTTAGATTGTGGAATTTAAACATTTCAGAATATAACAAACGTCAAATTTTTACAGCATAGTGTGAAGTGTTTTTATCGAGAATCTATTTGTAACATCAAGAATAAATATTTTTTTCGATCTGAGTTGAATTCCTTTAACGATTACATTCATATCTAGTTACATTCATATCTAGAAATGTAAATAAAATTTATTTAAAAATTTATTTAAAAATATAGCAGAATTATAAGGATGAATATTTTTTCGATCTGAGTTGAATTTCTTTAACGATTACATTCATATCCAGTCTAAAAATGCAAATAAAATTTATTTAAAAATTTATTTAAAAATAGCGAAATTATAAAAATTTATAGCAACATGTTACTTTAGCGATTAGATTGTAGAATCTAAATATTTCAGAATACAACCACTCCAAGATTTTAACAGTATACGTTGTGTCTCGAATCAACTTGTAATATATTGATGATAAATATTTTTCGATCTGAATTTAATTCGTTCAACGATTCTAATTAAAATCTAGCCTAAAAGTGTAAATATAAAAATTTATTTATAAATATAAGGAAACTATAAAAATTTAATTGTACAAAAATTGAGAACAATATGATGCGATTAAACCGTAGAGTCTAAACAGAGCACAATCCCAAGATTTACAACTTGATAAAGTTTCCTCATTAATCCCGCACGTATATTGAACTTTGTACTTTTCAATGTGTGCCACCTACCACGGATCGCCCCTTTTAAATACCTCGTACATCCCCGTGGATATTAATAAACGACTTTGCGGCGATGAATAGCAGGTGTGTTTGCCTCTCACGGCGATTAATCCCGAAGAACTAAAGCCGCTCGTCGAATCTCGTCGCATATTTCTCGAAAAGGATACAGGGTGTACACATGCGAGGCACGTAATCCGCGTTTCGTTGTCGGGCAAGATAAATCAGGCGTCTTACGTACGTAAGCGGAACAAATTTCATTCAATCGGAATCGGGAGCGTATGCGCAGGTATGTGTGTTTGTTAGCCGCGCTTGCATTTATCAATAGAACGCATTTGCATTCCTCGGCTCGTCGCGCGCCCAGGTCGGGATTATTTTTCCAATACGTTACAAACACCCGGATTCGTATTTTTCGGAAGGAAATACGGGATGCGAGGGAGATTGGACGCGTGTCGTCCTCGGAGACGCATTCGATTCGCCCAACAATATCGCCCATTTCCCGCGCTCATAGAAACGCGCCCATTTCCCGCGACGATCAAGGCTCCCGTTCGCAAGGGTATCTTATGCATTCTCCCCTCGTTTGCTATATCGTCTCCCCAAATGAACCCGCAACTCGCGGGTGTCCAAACACATAATTATGTTTGGATGCGCGAAAGATCGCGTATACGCTAAGCCGCACGCGCTTAAGGGTGGAACGACGTTACGTGCCTCGTGCAACCGCCGAAGCCAAGGATATATCGCGTTTCGGAGTTTATTCCAGAAGCGTGTGCCTGAAACTTCTCACGCTGTGTACTTCGCCGGTAACCGCGAGAGCTCGCAGAAGCATAATGAGCGCGTAAATCGTCGGCAACTTGTAATCCGCTTTCGAGCAGACGCGCGCCACGAGATCGCGACATGGCGGTCGCATTCCCGCCGACCATTTATGCAAATTATCGGCGGGCCACAGGGTTAATACATTTTCGCGTGCAGCGTTTCGCGATACCTAACCAGTCGATAGATCCAAACAAATATATATATATATATATATATATATTTTATTATGTGTGTGTCTGTGTGGGGGTATGTTCGGCACACCGGGTATATTTTCCAGCGAATTTACAGCATTTGCATACTTGGGGAATATTTAAACGCGGAAACCTCCCGCGGCGGGTTACCGTTGGAAAAACAGGAATTTCACTGTTGAGCGAAAACGTCCGCCATGTTTCCGCGCGATGTGGAAGATCGGAACGATGAGGTTCCGTTTAACACCCTCCCCCGATCCCTCCCCGCTCTCCCTCTCGCTCTCCCCCCCGAATTCGATATGGGAGTGTCGAAATCTTCCCTCGTTAATTTTAATTCGCCGAACGCTCCAGTTATTCGGTAAACACACAGCCGGTGTTTTCGATCATTTCAATTAAATTCGAGATTAAAAAGACACTGTATCCGCGTAAGTTGATTCCGGTATCCGCTGTGACGTCATTGATTTTCCTTCGATTGTATAGATTGTTCGCGGGTACATTTATATTTTCGCAATAACGTTTATAATTTAACGATATAATGTTTGTAAAATAAATAAATGTTTTTTTTCCATCTTTTAATTCGAATAAACATTTTAGCGTAATTATTCCTCTTGTAGATATCATGAAAGTTTTAATTTTCTTCGATGTTGGGAATCGCATTGGCTGCTACAAAACTTTTCTAACGTTACGCTAAATTATTTCGATAAACTGGAAATATAAATTTCGATAGAAAAATAAATTTTCAATTTAAGAATCCTACATAAAGCTTCGTACCGTCTATCGTTGCACGTATGTGTGCTTAATAAATGATTTTCTCATTTTTACAGAGAAAGTGCGAAAGCTATCGGCGATAAAATTAGTACAAGGATTATCATTATTAAAGCTCACCGTTCAAGGACGAGGATTCCACTCGATGAAATCAAAAGGGACTTTACGCACTGTGAAAACTCGGCACATTTTTCTTTTTACAATAACCGCACTAAACGCACACACAAACGCAATTTCACTTTGTTCCAATGACTGAGACGATATAGCCGAAAGTCGAGTTAAATCAACACGCAAACTTTTCTTTTTTTCGATTTAATCTTCGAACTACACACTGCACAAATTTACGACGCGATGGATCTTCCTTTATCCTAACACATTTGACCCTCCTCACGATTTAATTTATTCCATTCACGATTAAATTTCAGGAGGATTCGATATCACGGTGTACATGAATATGATTGCATTTCGTTCGTCGCACAACAGGTCCTTGCCGGCAGAAACACCCTCGGATTATATTTAAATCTTCGTTGCTATTGTTTACTGTTTTCAGTTCTCGGTTCCCTAAGCGATTCAAACAAATTATTATACTCGATCTCAGTCCACAATCTTTTGATATTTCAAGACCCCGAGGATCCTTTGGATATTTTAGGACCTCCAAACAGTCCCTGCGACTTCCATCAGCGCGCTGATCGAACCTCTACCTCGACAACACTGCATTACATCTCGACGCCGGGCGTTCGAATAGCGCGATCTACGTGTTCCGGTCCGCGCTCGTACCGGAAGTGAGTCCGTGGGGACGCTCCAGGCCTCGCGGAACTGGTGGCGACGACGACGCGTCCGCGCGCATCTCGCCCGCTGACGGTCGCATGACGGACGGCGACGTCGGCGTCGCGATTATCGGACGCGAGAGACGTGGAGACGAGACACCCCAGGAGGAGAGGAGGACCTGGCTGTCGCCCACCCCCGACGCGGACGACGAAAGGGCGGCGCGAACTGTTCGACTACCCGGCACTATCGCGACGCGTGTAACGTCGCCGCGAGGCTCGCGAGACGGACTACGGTACCGGAATGGAAAGCTCCGCAAGCTCTCGCGCAACGCGACGCCAGAGCCTCCATTCTCGTCTGCCGAGCGCGCCACGGTCGATTCCGCGGATTACACTTAGGGGATGCTGCGAAACGCGCCAGCCACCCTCTCGAGAACGACCCGCAAGCATGGCACTTCGCCCCGACTCGCTTAAACTCGCCTTTGTAGACGAGTAACGATATTTGAGTCTCCCGAAAGCTCCTGAACCTATTTTGCATCAATGGTATCTTGGAATACATATAATATGGGATCTTGAAATAATCGAGTGACGCTAAGGATTTGTAATCACTGATAGTGTAATCTAATCATCTACGTAATCTATTTTGTAAAAGTACCGTGAAAAGATCAACTGATGACAGTACGGAAAAAATGTGAAATCAAAGGAATCTCGCCCGGATCGGAGCGTCATCAAGCGTCCCGGCCCGCGATTACCGAACACGAGGGGATCTGCGAAACGCGCCAGCCACCCTCTCGAGAACGACCCGCAAGCATGGCACTTCGCGACTCCTTAAACTGCTTTTAACGGTAACGATATTTGGTCTCCCGAAAGCTCCTGAATCTATTTTGCATCAATGGTATCTTGGAATACATATAATATGGGATCTTGAAATAATCGAGTGACGCTAAGGATTTGTAATCACTGATAGTGTAATCTAATCATCTACGTAATCTATTTTGTAAAAGTACCCGTGAAAAAGACTCAACTGATGACACGTGAAACTGATGATTTTATAAACCCATTGTGGAGGCAATCAAGAGGAATCCTCTGGCCGGAAAATCGGAGCGTCATCAAGCGTAACCCGGCCTTGCAAGCTGGAATGTCTGAAAAGCTCGAACATCGTCGAAACGTGACGCGCAGACTCGTGGGGACGCGGGAAGAAAGGGATAGCCGGCTATCGATTCAGTTTTGCCAACAGACGGACCCTTTTGCTGGTGACTTTAGGATCGTCTAGGGACTTGTTAAGGAACGTTTGTATCGCTCCTTATATCGCGAGGCGGCAACCGATGATAGATCGATATCCTTTCGAAGGACATGCGAGTCCGAAACGTGCCGAATAAACTGACGTCGCTTCAACAGGAGCTTCGAGAGCTTTCGAGTTATGCATCGAGGACCGTTAATTGGGTTGCTCGATTGCCTTGTCGGGTCTTCCGGCTTCTGAGATCTTGAGTCTAATTAATCTCATGCGTGAATGGCTTCCTCAAGCGGAAGAGGTCTTCTGAGGTCGCAACATTTGTTTTCTATTATCGCGTACAAACAAAAATGTGCTGTTCATTTAATGTCCTCTTAAAATTACTTTACCTTAAAAAATAATTCCCATTTCATGTAAACTACATTGTTATGGTAAAATCTAATTTGAAATGGGATAGAAAGGAATTTTGGATATTTTTAATCGCATACTAGATATTTATTTTCTCGAAAATCAACAATTTTTGAATCGAGGCTCCCTGAAGTTTAAGATAAATAATTTTTTTGAAATGAGTTTTTCTCCCTGGAAATTGTTTTCTCTCTCTTTCTCAATCTTTTCTTTCAGCATCTCGAAACTTCTGAAATCCCACGAGAGACATAATATTTTTATTGCACCGGATTAAACGAGGTGCGAACGGTCGGTGATAAAAAAAAACTTTTTTGACACGTGGAGGCTCAGTTGCACCTGCAACGGACAATGTTATTCACGACCATTGACACTGTAATTTGGGATGTCTGCAATGTTGTGGTTGACGCGCTGTGCACGACTCGATATTCGTTACTTGACATTGAAAAAAAAACGTCAACGAAAAACAAGAGAAAATAGCAAAGAACGAAATAATAAAATTAAAATAAATTTTAAAACGATAACAAGTGAAACGTAAATAAATTAAGGAGAAGTAAAATGCAAGACATTTTTAAAATTTAAAAATGTCTTGCATTTTATTTCCGCCTTAAATTTATTTGACAGGTTAGATTTCATACAAGCCTACAGATATTTAAAATTGTTTGAGAATCTTATCGATTTTGAAAAGAGAAATCGGGAATCCTAAAAAATCCATAATTTTATTTAATCTATTAATTTACATTAAATATCTATTATCTCATAAATTTAGTGAAAATAATTATTTTAAATTAATCTTCTTTAATACATGATAAAAAAAATCAATAGTACAAACCGGAATCTGGCGAATATAAAAAATAATATATAAAAAAAAAATTGTCTCTCTCAAATAAATAATAATTGAATATATGTACGAAAGATAAAATCATCGCGTAACTTTTATAACATAAAATTTGATATCAGAGCAGCGGAGAGCGGAGTGACATCAATAAATCGAATTTTCCAGTGTTGAATTAACGAAGAGGCGATCAAATTCGCGTGATGTAATTATTGTCAAGAGCTGAAAATTGGAAATTGAAAAACGGAAATTATAAATTTCGTTTTCGGGGACGGGAAACGCAAGCCGTTTTCGTTTTTCCGTGATTAGGATCTCTTTGCGTTAACGTCATCGACGTCGAAATTATCAGATTTTCATGGGATATGCGGGACGTAGGGAAATATTCTCTCCTTGGATTTAACACTTGTATTAATCATGCTCAAAGTGTTCTACACGTTCAGCGTAATTCAACGGACCGAAACGGAGTAAACGGAGCAAGCTGAGAATGATATACTCGTGCTCCGCTGGTCCTTTTTCAGGCCTCTATTGTGATCCCGTGTAGCTGAAATTCGGCGAGATATATCAGAGGATTCCGTCCTGCTCCGGCAGGATGCGGGAGTGTTCGGAACTTTTTCAACGTACGTAGGATTCAGTGAAAAAGTTTCCCGGCGGGACTACTAATTTTGTTAACGGCCGAGTCCTTGAGTTCTTTCGCGCGTGAATGAAATTTATTCCACGATAAGATCCACGAAAGAGACGACGGAGACTTTTTAGGTATCGCATCCTACTTTTCGCACTGATTTAAAATTCGTTTGTAATAAATTAATCTCGAAATCCTAAAACTGAAGGGAGAATAACGAGTCTTTAGGACAAATTAAGAGAATTTGGGACAAGTTAAGAATCTAATTTCAAATGAAATTATCCCCCAAAGTTGATCCAAAAACTCGATTATCGCGAAACCGGGAGAATACTTGAAAGAGTCAAAAGGGATTTCAAAGGATTCAAGGATCTCAAAAAAAAAAAACCTCGAGCTCTGAGGACCAAATCCATTTCAGACGCATTCAACTCGCTCTAATCCAGGAAGATGAATCGTCCTGTTGGGCATTCTGAAGACAGGATGCAGACGTCGCTGATGTCTAAAGTGCATGAAAGAAAACGTTCTCTTTCGCTGGACCGTGCCGTGCTCTTTGTCAACCAGAAGGGGTGACAGCTTCTCATCCGGGGCCGGTTTCAGCCGCGAGGACGAAATTCAATTCCGCCCTTCGACGGCGACGTTGAAGACGTACCAGAAGAGGGCGGTTAACCGGAAACCGTAGAGCTCGGTCGATGTTCTTAATAAGAACATTCAGGAAGTGTGCCGCGAGAAACTCCAAAGCCCGCGTAATCGGATCGCTGTGAATAATGGGCGAGTCTACGAAGCCTACTGTAAATGATCCTCCCTCAATAGTTTAAACGAGGACGGTGTTCTCGGTTTTGCGAAAGGATACTAAGCTAAACTTCAAAGATGTTCCAATACGAAGTTCTTCAAGAGTCTTCAAAGATCGCGCGCGAAGACTCGTAATCGGATTAATAGCAACTAAATTTGCGACTTAAAGATGTTTTGTACGTACAATCCCAGCAAAAAGTAGCTGAAAATCAATATTGACGAATATATCCACTTGTGGTGTGTTTTGAGTAAGAAATTGTGTGAAATATTACAATTTGATCTTCGCTACAGTACAGAGATGTATTTTTTAATATTTATTGCGTTCATACTGAAATATTCCGAATTTTGTTAATCGAAATAATTAACTTTTGGCAGAGAATTTCGCCTTATGACAGATACATGGCTAACTTCATTGAATTATATTTAATATCTTTTTAACCAGTTAGTACTTGTATAATATTATTTGACTAAATATTTCCTCTGTATCTAACTTTTGCAAATTTTAAACAAATTTTGAATATTATTTCCATGTGTTTTTGTCATTTGAATCGATATGGTTATATGTTTCCCATAAGAACACATGTTAATTCGGTGCAAATAAAAATCCTTATAACTTGTGAACGCTTTAGTGAATCGATTTAAAAATTGTACTGAAGATTCTAAACATATGTAAGGACATTCTGTACAATTTTCATTAAATTTTCAATATTTTGAAAATAGGTTTTGTATGTACAATCCCAGCAAAAGTAGCTGAAAATCAATATTGACGAATATATCCACTTGTGGTGTGTTTTGAGTAAGAAATTGTGTGAAATATTACAATTTGATCTTCGCTACAGTACAGAGATGTATTTTTTAATATTTATTGCGTTCATACTGAAATACTCCGAATTTTGTTAATCGAAATGATTAACTTTTGGCAGAAAATTTCGCCTCATGACAGATACATGGCTAACTTCATTGAATTATATTTAATATCTTTTTAACCAGTTAGTACTTGTATAATATTATTTGACTAAATATTTCCTCTGTATCTAACTTTTGCAAATTTTAAACAAATTTTGAATATTATTTCCATGTGTTTTTGTCATTTGAATCGATATGGTTATATGTTTCCCATAAGAACACATGTTAATTCGGTGCAAATAAAAATCCTTATAACTTGTGAACGCTTTAGTGAATCGATTTAAAAATTGTACTGAAGATTCTAAACATATGTAAGGACATTCTGTACAATTTTCATTAAATTTTCAATATTTTGAAAATAGGTTTTGTATGCACAATCCCAGCAAAAGTAGCTGAAAATCAATATTGACGAATATATCCACTTGTGGTGTGTTTTGAGTAAGAAATTGTGTGAAATATTACAATTTGATCTTCGCTACAATACAGAGATGTATTTTTTAATATTT